AAGGACTGCGACGGGAAGTACCTGGCGCCCACCGGACCCACCGGCACCCTCAAATCCGGCCGCAGCTCCAAGCCGGGCAAAGATGAACTCTTTGACCTGGAGGAGAGTCACCCCCAGGTGGTGTTCACGGCGGCCAATGGCAGATATGTCTCCATCCGGCAGGGTAAGAGCTCCCCACACCCACTCCCTGCCCACCCAGGGACCCCACAGCTCTGTGGGAGCACCTTTGGGACCCCCACCCTGGGGCAGACCCCATAGCAGCAACCCCATAGGGCTGTGCTTACCTGGGGGGATCCTACAGCCACATCCTGGGGACGTGGGGAACCCCAGCCTGGCTGCTGGAGAGGGACACGGGGGTCCTGTGTGCCTGGGGGGCTGAGGTCATTGAGGATGGAGTGGGAGCAGCTGGGGGGGAAGGCGTGGGTGTGTTTGTACACACATGTGTGCATGTGCAGGGCTCTGTGGGTGTGTGTGAACACGTGCAGGGGTGTAGGTGTGCACAGGTGTGTACGTGCACACACACACACAGACACACACACAGGTGTGTCACAGTCCGTGCAGCATCCACAGGGTCACACGTGTGCCTGTGCAGGCCACACACGATGCCCTGTGTGCACACACGTGTGTAGAGCCAGCAGATGTGACCACAGGTGAGCAGAACCCCTTGTTGGAGACCCAAGGGACCCCATTCGCCCCCAGGTGCCCCCCAGGGACGGTGCCACCCCTGTGCCAAGCAGCTTAGTGCCGGGTGACGAGGGGGACCAGCTATAAATAGGGGTTTGTGACCAGATGGACACGGCGGTGACAAGCTGATTAACCAGCCCAATTAGCACAATTGTTCGCAGGAGGATTTGGGGGCAGGGGAGGGTGCCCGTGGTGGTGATGGGTGGGGTGGGACAATGGCTGCAATGGGATTGGTCCTGCTGGCCAGAGCAGGATCGCTGCCAATGGCCACAGCAGGATCAGTGACCGTGGACAGAGTGGCTTTGGTGACAGGAGCCAACAGAGTGGAACCGATACCCATGGCTGGAACAGGATGGGTGCCAATGGCTGGAATGGGACAGTGACAATGGGCTGGGCTGGAACTGGTCCTGATGGCCTGAGTGGGACTGGTGACAATGGCTCAGTGGGATCAGTGCCTGTGGCTGGGCTGGGATTGGTGACAGTGGACACAGCGGGGTCACTGATGATGACTGGAGCAGGACCGGTGCCAACTAGTGCCAAAGTGGGATCGGTGACCATGGCCAGACTGAGGCTGCTGCCCAGGGCCAGGACAGGACCAGTGCCAGTCGCTGGACCTGGAGTGGCGCTGGTGGCTGGAGCGTGACCAGTGCCCATGTGCAGAGCAGGCCCAGCACCAACCTCCACTCTCCCCTAGGTGTGAATGTCTCAGCAAACCAGGACGAGGAGCTGAACCACGAGACCTTCCAGCTGCAGATCGACCGTGACACCAACAAGTGCAGCCTCCACACCAACACCGGCAGCTACTGGACCCTGGTGGCCCACGGGGGCATCCAGGCTGTGGCCACCGAAATGTGAGTGAGGCTGCAGCGTAGGGTGGAGGGATGATGTGAGGGGGTGACATAGGCACCCCTAATTCACGCTGTCCCTCTGCCACCAGCGCTGCCAACACCATGTTTGACATCGAGTGGCGCGGGC